TGTGTGTGTGTGTGTGTGTGTGTGTGTGTGTGTGTGTGTGTGTGTGTGTGTGTCTGCGCAGCTACACTGACCCGAGTGTGCAGGATTCAGCCTCGGAATTACAGCCAAGCATTTCAAAATAATAGACAACATCTGCAATTATAGAGGCACAAAAACACCACACAATGTTCTCTCGATGCTCGCCGGCATCATTCATGTCGTTACTGAAGGACGTCCTTCCACACTTCCTGGTTACAGCAGCGCTGACACAGCGTTACAGCCAGACCCTCGGCACAGGCCGCATGCAAGCACCTGGGCAGCGCCTTCAAAGGAACATTTAATTACAGTATAAAATGACCTTCTCGTGTTTACGTGAATGCCATAGCAACAACATCACCGTTCATGTGACATACAAAAATGGTCCTGCTAGTGTCACGGGAGGGGGTGGGGCTACAGTATTAATCTATGACTGACAAACCCCCCACTCTAATTTTGAAAGTTGAGTCGCTGCTATAGGGGCGTTCCCAGTTTACATCACTGCAGCGGGAGTAACAAATAAAATCAAAGTTTCTTCCACCTCCACGTTTGCTTACACCACCTGACCCAAAATGGTCAAAACATTAAGAACCCCCAAAGGATTTTACTGACCTAACAGCAGGGACCAGACATCAGACCCTGGAATATTTCAGGCAACTCTGACAGGGTCAGGTGGGAAGCATCAGGTGACGCTGCCTCAAAGGGTTTCTCGACAGTGTCATCACTGTGGGTCTGTTCCCGCACATCCCTCCATGATCCCCTGAAGAAGAGTCATTTCCTAATCCTTCATGCTTCCGGCTGTGGTCTCACTTCCTCACTGCCCTCACAGAGAAACCGTGTGTGTGTGTGCGCGTTATCAGCTTCATCATCTGATGTGGCAGCGGTCTGACGAGTCTGCAGACGCTGAGCCGTGTCCTGCATGTGAACCACACCTTCCTTAAACTTCTGCTGATAACACGACACAACAGCTGCTGCCTCGCCCTGTGAGCCAGCAGCGATCGAGCCTCGTTACTGAAGGCCGACCCAAAGCAGTCAGCAAACCTCTTCCTGCTTCATCGGGTAGTTACCGCAGGGTCACTTCACAGACTCGGACGTCCCTCTTTATCCGCCCTGCTGCGCACAGACGAGAGGCAGCAGTAACCTCTGCTCTGAAAACGTCCATTAGAGCTGCAGAGCAGCGCGGGGAGTTCACAGAGAGAGGGCCTTCACGGCCTGCAGGAGCCGACCGAGGCGTCATCAGGTCACCTCGGATCCTATTGGCTCAAGCATCGACGTAAGACACGTCTGTCCCGTTTATTCCTCACGTTCTGGGGTTGTCTTACTGAAAACAAGCGTCTTCACCTGAACTGATGTTGAACGTTTAACAAATCTGGGTTTTTTGAGCTCGAGTAAATTTAATCCCACTGACAGAAAGGTGCACGTGCTGGCTTTATTAAAAGCAGATGATCAATAGGAAGTCATTTCCTTTTTTGTCCTGAAACCTGAATTCACGCCTCACCTTAAAATAAAGACAAAGCTCCCTTCACAGTCTGACTAAATGCTGCTTTTAAGGCTGACCTATTCTGCACTTTTTCTACTCTTCCAGCTGTATGATGTCATCACGACAAACAAAAGCTCCACCCACCTGCTGTTTAAAACTTCCCTTTGTAAGGCTTATTCTGATTTGTGAATCATGCTAAGCCGCCCTGGCAGTGTGAGAGAACACAGCCTGATTCAGCTGTAAACACAGCGTCAACACAACATGAAGCTGTCAGTCTGAAAAGTCAGTGATGACACAGCAGCAACTAGCATGCTAACAGCCAGTTAGCTGTGTCCACCTGTCAGGAGGGGTCGGTGACTCACTCAGGTGAGGCTCCAGGTAAATACAGGAGCCTCTGCTGCTGCGTTTGTGGCAGCCAGCCAATCCTACCTGGAGTCTGAGCTGGTTAAACACGTCGGCAGTGTCCGTGTCCGTAAACACGGAGCTCCGTTTTTAATCTGATTCAAGTTCCACTCAGCGGCTAACCCACAAACCCGAGCTCAGAGCCCGGGAACCGGGCCTGTGTCCAATGTTCGGTGATCTCCCAGCTTCGTACAATCAAACCGGGCTCACACAGTGGGCTGTCGGCCGTTTATGACCGATTAAAGTGGCTAAAGTATCCGCTGAGAGCCGCTCTGCGCACTCTCACACTCGGCTAGGTTACGCTAGCTCCGTGCTAGGCTAACACTCAGCGTTACCTTGGCTGGCGGGGTCCATGGCGTCGCTCTCTCGCGGATTAAACTCCTCTTTCGAAGATTTAAAGTTTCAGGTGGAGCGCAGCGGACAGCAGAGCGGCACACTGAGCACAAACCGTCCACACTACAGCTTCGCTGACAGAAAGTCGTCGACAAGAACACACGGGGAGCAGCAGTCGTTTATCCCACGGTCCGTGAAATTAACGCCAAACAACAGAGGCACATCCGGCGGGGAATTTCAAAATATTACGTTAGTGCCTGGAGGCGATGACTGGGAAATATTTATTGATGACTCCTCTATTATTTTATTAAGAAATAGTGGATTACCTGCCTCGGAAATTAAAAAAAATCCACTATCGATATATTCATCAGTGTCTGAGACTTCACGTTTTTTTTAACTGTCCGAGTACAATTCTGAAGAACAGATTACACGTTACATTTCCAAACTGGCAGAAACACAGTGAACCAATCACACTGAGGTGTGTCATCACTCTGGTTAAAGGTGTTTTTTTTGTAACAACCCACTGTAAACTTTGACCTGCACGGCATCAGCGGGTTTTTTATTTTATTCGTTTATTTTAGCCGCGTTTCCTCCGGATGCTGCTATGCTTTTACCTGCTAAATAAAGGTCACCCTGACTCACTGCTCCGTCCTGTGGTACAAACATGAAGGTACAGCCCAGGCCTGTTCTAACTCCGGCTTGCATCTCCACATCACAGTGCACAGATGTTCTCGACGTGAAGAGTAAGCAGATGTTTCTTCTCGGTTTGTTACTCAGCTGTTCTGAGATTATCTATGACACACACACAGGTACAGTCAGATTCACTGCACACCTGTCATAAAAACAATAAAAGACAAACATTCATTTTAATTTCATATATATTTAATATAGTGAGTCGTGCTTCTTTAAACAGGAGCGATGAATTTCAAACTGAACTACTGACTTTAGTCACAAACATGAGCGAGCACCTCGCACGTCTGAGAGCAGTCACTACATTCAACCTCTCAAATGCATATTTGTGTAAATAAATGTAATTTAGCACCTTAATCAAAAATAATATTGATGAACTTTAATATTTTTCAGAGCTTGTGCGTGCTCGTGGGTTACCTGTTACAGAAACAACAAATCACAACAACAGATGCCTCAGGTGCTTTTATATTGTAAGACCTGCTATAACACACAGAAAACAATGTTTTAATAATTAGCATTACTGTTAGCTGTGGCAGAAACCCGGCTGTGAGTGGGCCTCTGCGTGGACTCCAGGAGCACAGGTGACAGATTTACTTTAGACCAACGTGTTTTTAAATCATGACGACACATTTTACAGCAGCAGAAACACAAAAACGTCACATTGACGTGTTGGTGTGTAAACCTAAAAACACACCGTCAGAGAGTCTGACAGGTCTGCTGAGCTGTGATTCATAACTGAACACGCCGTCTCATTTCTCATGTGGCGCTTTAAGGCAGGTGTGCTTTTATTTTTAAAGGGCAGTCATCCAAACAGGAAGTGGGTTCTCCTCAGCACAGCTGCAAAATGCTGCTGAAATACTTTGATTTGACACTTTGTGTTTATCTGTGAATGGAAATGCAGAACAGCTCTTCGCAGCACGCACAGCGTCTCCAGCCTCAGAAATCTGACCGATGTGATTTTTAAACCTGCGAGACGCATGACACACGCGCAAACACCACGTCCGTGGATTTCAGTGATTCTTGAGATAAGGGACAAAACACGTCCGCCGATAAAACCCGATTTTGGGGTTAAAAATATGCACACAAGTGTTAACCCAGCTGACTAAGAGACAAACCACGGCAATGTTTACACAACCAAAGTATGAATTTGTGTTTTGTTACGCATATATATTTACTTTAAATGGTACAATACATTACCAGTACCCTAGAAATCCACTGTCCACAAGCAGGTGTGATGATATTAAAATAGAGAGAAAAATGAACAGTAATGTAAAATTAAACATCAAGTCACTAAGTATTTAAGTCAATACCTTATTTAATATCAAAATGTACACCTGAAATTTATGTTTGCATATTTTAAGTGATTAAAATCGTGTCCAGAGTTTTTGTCAACACCATCAGATTTTTAAAAAAGTACAAAAAAATCAGGAATGATTGTGGGCAGCTTACACTCTGAGGACCCCTTTACCACTTCCTGTTCGATACACATGCCATGGTGAGTTTTTTTGTTTTAATTTCATTTATGGCACAACTTTGTGATAAAACTGCGTCACAGCCACAGGGCATGTAATCTGTAATCTGTAGTGGAATACATTTGAAAAGTAACCTTCCCAACGCTGCCACCGTCAACACCTTATCAACTCCAAAATTCTGGGTTTTTGTTTATTTTTCCCTTTTGAAGAACCATATGTTTTGCTCCCTCATGATATTCCAATAAAAAAAGTTAATTTTCTCAATAAATGTGTAATTTTCATGCTGCTAAATATGATTGTTTCTTATAGAGATTAAATACAAGCTTCTGAAAATATGTACGACTGTAACTCTAATAACAAAAAGCCAAACAATCTTACTTTTAAATGTGGTATAATTAGTTTGAAAGCATAAACAGTAGAACAGAGAAGCTGCTAAAAGTCAAACTAGCTGAAACACTTCATTTAAAATATATATTTTGCATTTCTTTGTGTCTGATGGTGTTGACAAAAACGTTGCACTTCTCCAGCAAAAACATAAATTATTAAAAAATGTTACACCTGGGAGACCAAAACATGGTGAGACGGCCAAAACTTATAGTGTAACAATTATATGTAAATATGATTCCCCTAATCTCAGGCATCACCGACAAAACACGCAGAAACTCAAAGTGTCCAAAGACTGAATGAGTCAGTCATGAAACAAAATCAGCATCAGAAAAATTATTATTTAAAAATCAACAATGAATATGTGAGAAGCATCATCATCATCATCATCACGACACACGCACATAAATGTATCACGCCTCCTCGGCCTGTGAACCTCGTTATTTCTCTGCTTTCACTTCCTGTCAGGTCAGCGATCGTCTGCCACACTTTCTACAAAAACGAGCCCAAAAATGTAATTTCTCAGGCACAATTTCAAAATAAGAGCCCAAACAACCAAACATCTCTCAGAGGAATCCCCCCCCAACCATCCACCCACCGCCTAACTCTTGTTGTGGGTGGGGCTCAGCCAGGAGAAAAACTGGGCAGATGAGGAGGAAGTGGAGGAAGTGGAGGCAGCGATGCGGGGGCCGTGGGTCTCCCTCCTGGAGGGACAGCAGGTGGAGGTGAGCGTGAGCAGTACGAGTCTCCTGCAGATTAAGATTTCAGATTAAAAGATGGTTAAAACGGATTTGGCTCTCTAACACGCAGAGACGACCAAGACGTCACCTGGAAGCTCACCTGGTGTCTCATACCTGAGATAAACTTCCTGTTTGCTCCAAACTATTTTAAATCCTGTCCTGATGTTCAAAATGGTGAACTTTGACCTTTCTATTTCCAAACTGACTTCCTGCTGGATTTGGTTGGTCTTTATTTCCTCTCGCTCTGATGTCACGATTACAGAATGTTACATTATTGTATTTTAATCTGCATGAATGAACTTTTAAATAATTATAAACAGCTTGTCTTTATATTAAATCAAGTGTCCGCAGAGCTTAAGCAAACTGGCCCAAAGACATATTTCAGATGATTATTATGAATTCAATTTTAGAGCAACGTTAATGACAGACGTGTGGTGGGAGAGAAATTTACATATTTAATAAATGTAAATGTTTATCATGAAGAATAAAATTATGCTTTAATAAAGCCTGAATAAAACAGTGATAATGCTTCCATATTTATACTACAGAGAATTAAAACTGTCATTACACAGACTGACCACAGGGTGTCAGCAGAGCTGAGTCTCCGCTCCTTGTCTGCACTGTAAGTTTGTCCAGTCGCTTAAAATGTTTCATTTCTTTGGCCTTTTTCCCACCACGCTCCTGTGCTCCACTCAGTACTACACAGTAAGAGTATTAATAGTACAAGTACTGCGGTAACAGTGATAGTAGTATGGGGGTAAAAAAAAAAAGTAAAATAAAAAAGAATAAAGTTCAAATAATTTTATTATTATAGATTTTTTTAGACAATCAGTGCTCGCTTTAAAAACAAATTCGACTGACTGTAACCTGATTTCATTTATTTGTAGTCGCTGTGAGTTTAAAGTGTTTTCTGTAAGAAGCAGAATTATTATGTTTATAATAAAACGCATCAGTGATCGTCTAAAAGTAAAGATTAATTCATCTTTAATTTAGTGTGACCAAAAGTATCCTAGAAAAGCTGTTTTTATCCTTTTAAAATAAAAGTATTCTGAGTCACATGCCTTTCACAATAAAAGCATGCCGCAGGTGAGCATACCTGAGCTGTGCGGCAGTGATGTGCGTGCGGCTCCGTGTGGCGTTTATGTGCAAATAAAGCAGCCGACGTAAGCCCACGCCCTCTGCAGGATGACCAGGAGGGCGAGCAGGTAGAAGAACAGTGTGACAGCCTGCAGGTGGAGAGGAGGGTGGAGGAGGGATGAGGAAGAGAATGGAGGTGAGATGCGGTGGATTATTTCCTAACTCTAACGAGCCGGCTGAGCGGCTCAGGTGGGACGTCTCCACCTGTTCATTCAGGTGTAGCTGTGCTTCCCTCCTGCTGCCGTACATGGAGGGTTAAAGCTCTGATTATTTTTTTCCATATTTAAACTGATGTCTGGGCGGCAGGCGCCGGCATCACGCTCGGCTCGCAGAAACAAAACGAATAAAAAGAGAAGAAGAAGCAGCTGTGGAGGTGGAGCCATATCTGTGGGTGGGAGCAGCGTGCAGAGCCTGGTCCATGATGATGACGAAGGATGACACTGACCTGAGAACGGGCGTCTTCAGCACCTCTCGTCTCCACGGTGACGTCAGAGCCTTTGGGTTTCTTCTCGTCGTCCTCTCTTCCTTTCGACGCTCCAAACTCGCCGTCTCTGCTCTCCGTGTGACGCTTCTCCTTCCTCACAGCTTCATCCTCCTCGCTCCTCCCCAGCCTCACCCTGAGCTCACTGCGTGACGAGCATCCTTTGCTTCCCTTTCCTTCGGCCTCGTTCAGCTGCTCCTCAGCAGCCTCGGACAGGTACGCCCAGCCCTGCACCTCCTCCTCCTCCTCGCTCTGAGGTTCTTCTGCTGGATTTTTTGAGCAGATATGAGAGCAGATGGGGACTCATGGAGGACAGATAGGCAGCCTTGTGGGAGGAGATTGGATTTGACCCCAGCAGCGTGAGGTGAACCCGTCCTCGCTGATGCATCGATGGACCTCCGGCAGGGTTTGTCCAGGAGCTGATGGGCTCAAGCCAGCTGTGCACCAGCTGGGGTAAAAGTCAGCATCCTCCTCCTCCTCTTCATCCATCCCCTCACACTGACAGGTGAAGACAGTTACAGCCACATGTTTAATCACTCGCTGTGTTTATCCCTCCGTGATGGTTTTGGAGACCTGCAAATGTTCTCTTAGTAAAACATGCATTTCCTGCAAACCCTGTATACAAAAGATGGACACAGACTCAAGCCCATTGGTCAGTGAGGTCCAGCTGTTCACGGTTTGTAGCATTTTGAAGCCTCATTGGTAACGTTTCAATTGCCACCATGTTGGTTTTGTTTCAGGAAGTGACCATATTTGGACAACCTTCATGTCTCACAGCCGACCCTCAGCTCTGTTGGCAGCTCTGAGGCTACTGATGGACTCTTTCATTAGATTATATGTTAGAGAAATTCTGAGTAGTTTACAATCAAATGTAAAGGTGAGCGTCTTTAAAGCAGGTGTGATACTCTACCTGCTGTGTGCTCATTCCCTCCTGCCGTTCGCCGCCCTCTTTAGCTAGCTCGGCGGCGGCTTCCTCCTCTCCCTCCGTGATATGACCCGAGTCCAGCTCAGGAGTCTCCTGCTCTGAAACCTCCTCTGCGGCCTGCTGGTTGCCGTTTGGTTCTGTGTTCTGGATCAAAGAATCTTTGGGTTCTTTTGGCTCTGGTTCTTCAGGAACATCCTTCACGACTGGAGAGATATCACAAAACCATGATGCTGAGGGAGGAGGAGGAGCCAACATCACAAAGGAAATAATGAGACGAACTGATGTAAATGCAACACGAATAATGCGGTGATGTAAACATGTTTATTTATTCATAATGTATTTGCTGCTTCATTCTTTTAGTCCACGACTTTTCATTCAATTCATTTTTGTTTTCTCTCCTGCATCGCTCCATTTTCTGAATTTTAGAAGATTTCGGAAAATCTGAGCATGAACAGAAATGAACAAAGACTTAAAAATGGGCGGGGTTTTATAGAAGTGACCTTTAACGTGCACGCCCACGTCTAACGGCTGAGAGCTGGACCAATGAATACTGCTCATACTAGTTCGTCTGCAGCTGCAGTCCTTCATACTCGTCGTCATTATTGTTTGAATTCTTGACATGGCTCCTGATACTCTGCAGCAGCTTCACTGTGAGTTATTCTGCCTCTGCTCAGGACCTCCAGGACCAAGCTTGGCGCCTACTACACCTACATGTGAAGGCGCCGCCCCTCGCCCTGCTTCTTCAGGAGGGGACTTTAAATTAAAGCACGTGTCTGTATTGTGGAGATAAAACACTACAACCTGATTAGTTTGGTAACCCGCTGCAGCTGAAGACATCTGTGTTACGATGATCACAGGGAAGCACCTGGGCAGGTATCACTGATGACAGCTGACCTCCTGCATCCTCAGAGTGTTGGTGCCAACATGGCGTCGCACACTGCGGATCCTCTGACCGATAACACGGCTGCTGTGAGGTTACTCCAACAACAACCCATAACCAGCTCATTGTGCAGTAATGTGCTCCAAACAGAAGCCACACCCACAGCATTTAAACCAATCAGAGGAAAGGCACTTTAAAGTGGGAGGAGCTAAACAGGAAGCGCTGCAGGATCATATAAAGATGGCTTATTGTAGCCTTCGTGTCATGCAGAGCTGCCCTGTGTCGGGTTGGGGAGGTGGAAATGAGCCGAACAAGTCGAACCTTTGATGAAGTCGATGCTCTTCAGCGCCCTCTCCTGCTCGCTGAAGTTAAACCTGTAACGACTCAGGCGCTCGTAACCTGGTCTCAGCGTCTCGGACGGACCCGAGGCACTCGCTGCCTTCACCCTGAGGACGGCGAAGACGCGAGGAGGTATAGGAAGCAAAAGCAGGTTGGTTAATGCTGACGAAGTGAAGGAAGGCGTGAAGAATATTTCCCGTCACTCACTTTGTGATCATCTCTGCTGAACTCTGAAAGAGGAGGAGGAGACAAATGAGCCGAGTCAGACTCGTCACCGCCGCACACAGGAAACGGGAGTCGCTCACCTGAACAAAGGCGGCCATGTTGGGCTCTTCCATGCTGCTCGCGGCGCTCTCCGCCAGCCTGCTGTTGGCTGCCATGCTGTCATCATGGCAACGCACCAGCGCCCGCGCGTGGCCCGTCTTCTCCTCTTGCTCAGAGCTGATTCGCTGTGCCATCGCCTTCGATCACAGTAAAAAGAAACACTATGAGGCGTGACCATCGTGTTCAAACAAGACGTAATACAGAGCTTTCTGTCACAAACAGACAGCAGGCGCAGGAACATTCACCGCAGAGGCTCCAACGTGTTTGAGGACAGCCGCGTCTGCGTGTCCTCATCTGAAGGACGTTATCCTGATTACCTCCCTCAGACGAAGACACGACAGAGCAGCAGGCGGGTCTCTGTGCGGTGACAAAACAGCGACTGCTTCTTTCTGCTTGGGACTGTAAAATCAGTTTCCTGCTCACATCGTTTACAGAGTGACGTCAGGGAACTGAAGCTTCCTGCTGAAACAGAAGCAGCGATGGAGGCAGCCAAATAAAAGAAGGAGGACTTTGTGAGGTTGCAGTCGTCTGATTGGGTCTGCAGCTTTCAAAAACAAAAACGTACTTTTATTGCTGCAAAGTCCAAACAGGAAGCTCACTCCTCATGCAGACACACTGAGGGTAACCAGGGAAAGGAGACACAGGGACACACAGCAGACACTGCCACAGGGCAGGAAGTCAGACTGAAGACAAAGCACAAGCAACACGGGACTACCAAAATAAAACAGGAAACCTACGCGCACGGCACACATTTATAATTTAAAGTCCCAACATCACTGAGGACGAGGGCTGAACTCTGACCTTCTGTCTTTCCTCCAGGATGGAGAACATGCGGTTGAACTTCTCGCACACGCTCTGTTTCTGAATGCTGCAGTTCTCCTGAGGAGCAACGACAGTCAATCAGGTCTGACGCAGATAAACCACGAGGCTCTTTCATGGACTCCTGACACTTTTGAATACATTCTTCATCTTCGTGCAGACTCTGCTTCATCACATGCTCAATAACTGGATCGTGATGTGTGTGCAGGTGTTAACGAGCAGCTTTTGTGCAGATGTTCTGCAGCTGCAGCCTGAATAGCTCGAAATCACAACAGCAGTCGCGTCAAGGTGCTTTATATTGTAAGGTAGACCCTGCAATAATACATAGAAACACCAACAATCATATTGTTAGGTATTTTAGTACCATGGTAGCATTTACTGGATATTGTTTTATAGTGACATTATGCAGGAAAACTCTGTCATTCAATAAGGCCCCTTTGTTTCAGTTATTTTTCTCTTTGACCCAAGAATTGATGTGTGAGAATCACAGGCTGGTACAAGGTTGAAATACCACAGAGATCACTCCCTCAGCTACATTCGTTTCTAAATCTCTTAGGAGACGCCTGTTGAAGGCCAAATGGTTTGTTTCAGAATTCACTAATGAAAGAACTCTTTATTTCGTGCCTTGAAAATATGTCGCTGAGATAATCACAATTGTAGCTGAACTGATAAACTACACAAAGGATGCTTCTTCACCCAAGGGCAGGACGACGCTCCCTTATCTTGGTCTGTACTGGTTTAAACTGATAATCTGCTGTCTCATGAATTTTACCCCCTATATAAACTGTTGTACTTGTGAATAAAGTTGAGTCAATTTGGGAAGACAACCTGAAGCAGTCTCTGTTTTCTTGTTCTCCCAAGCTGCTCCCGAGCTCGTACTAACACGCTGAATGGCATGCTTGAATGTTACTTGAGAATATATTTGACTGTGTTACAGACTAAGGGACATTCTCTGCTGATAGACGTCCACGCCTCGAAGGAAGTCGATCCACGGATTAGGCCGTGGAAACCGTTTCCTTCACATATGACCCCCTGTGAGCAGCACTTTGGCGACAGCGGGAAGGAAAAACCTTTGGAAGAAACCTCCGGCAGAACCAGGCTCAGGGAGGGGCGGGGCCATCTGCTGAATTGACAAAGTGAAGAGATGAGCAAAGCTGTCATGAAGCGATCTGAAACATGTCCCTGTCACGACCTGCGGGATCAGCAAGGAGCTGGTCATTATGTTCGCTCTCTTTCTCGCTCTCCTGTTTTGCTGGGGCGGACATCATGGTGGGTTCACGCCCTCGGCCCACGCCTCCCTGTATTGGAAACACCTGGACCTCATCAGGACCAGCCGGTATTGAAGAGGGGAGAGGTCTGCTGTTTGGCGCTGGATTGTTGTTAAACTCCCGTCAGTTACAAGTTCAGGCCAAAGTTTCTCGTGCCCGTGTGCAGAATATTAACGTGCATTTGTTTGTATCGAGATTCCTCGGACCATCCCGTTGTTCCAGGAGCAGTGTGTGGAAGGAGCGGCTGGTCACAAAGCTGAGAGAGAGGGAGGAGCGTGTGTGTGATCCTCTTTTCCCCAGATTCCTGGAGGTCTGCCCCCCTCACGTCTTGTATATAGCACTATCCCCGCACAGCCTGTAAATACACTCGGTGAAGAGATTGTAAACAAACTTTCATTGTTAACTCGCTACTCAGCAGTGGTGTGTCCAGCGGGGTGGCCTGGGGGGGCACAGGCCACCTCCCCAACCAGACTGACCACCCAGGTTCCACCCCGAAGGTAAAACAATAAAATTCAATCAAATAGCCAATGTACGATTATGTTTTCACCGTGAAGCTCAGATATCCGAGTGTAAGTGAATGCAGCATCGGCTTCTGCACTATGAGCATCAGGTTAGCAAAGGTAGGAGAGCCAAGCTCGAAAGAGGCACCGCGGAAAATAATTTTTCAGCGAAAGAAAATGAGGAGAGAATAAATGTCCCGGTAAGTAATATTAAGTCTGTTGAGTTTAGTAAACTTAAATTAGAATCCCAAGGAAAAAATAACACCTGAAGAATTATTGCAGCCGTAGGCTGCTGGGGGAGCTAGCATAAGAGTTATGAGTTATAAGATATAATCCAAGTCGTAGCACTGCTGTGTGGAGCTGCAGGTTAACACTGGCAGCGTCACCATGCCAGCTGACTGTATCATCAGCCAGTGTTCTTTATACATCAATATCACCAACGTTTACCACGAGGCAGCACTTACACTGCACCGTGCGGTCCAGCTAATTTCTCTCATTACTGATCCTATCTGCCAGCTCCATGATATGAATAGAGTAAATCACCCCTGTGCCATGTTCAGTGCAGGGATGTGCAGTTCTGGTCCTCCCAGTTCCAGATGTTTCCAGACTTCAGCACAGCTGATTTAAAGAATCATTTACAGACATGTAGGTGTTTGGGGATTACTTGATTTGAACTGGCTCTGTTGGTATAGGAAACATCTAAAACGTGCAGGATAGGGTCCATGAGGGCCGGAAGTTGACATCCCTGACTTCTAGTCAAGGTCATCAGGAAAGTTGTTGTTTGTAACACAAGTTTTTGCTTTATTACTTCAGGGCCAACCAGTAGAGATAAAAGAACAGGAAGAATGAAAAGATTTCTTCCTTAAGAAGGCTAAAATACACCCAGAAGCAGAGAACAATGTCCGCAGTCATCATTGTCACCTGTGAGTTCTACAAATGAAGGTGTGTGAGAGAGAACGAACAAGGAAAATGCAAGGAAGGGATGTTCAACCGATCCATAGGGGACAAATCCTAATATGTGTATTGTGGTACGTAATTGGAAAGTAAAACAAAATCCTGTTTTAAATAACATGTTTTTTTATTTAATGAAATGTAATCTTTTGATATTATCCCAGCACCTGTTCATGATCCACCAGATAACCAGGATGCGGTGCCTTTTGAAACATCATGTACGACACCGGGCCATCCACATGGTATTGACCCTCCAGTCTTACTTATAGATTAATATTGACAGCCTTTAAAATCTCATTCTAATAAGAGTTATTAGGGTTATAGGGTTATTGCATTATGGTTAACAGTTGGTAGACTTTTTTTAACACCATCTGTGCCCCTACCTGCCCCCAACAGAAACACGCCACTGCTACTCCTGCGTGCGGATGCTGAAAGGCAAACCGTGACCGTCTCATAGCTCAGACTGTTTCTAACACTGTGAACTGAGCTGCCAATCACAAGACTAATACAATGAATGTTATTGTTGTTTATTGGTTACCGCTGACATCACACACCTCTATGTGTCTGCAGGTCTCCTCCAGCTCATTGATCACAGTCTGGACTTTGTCGCTGAACGCCCTCAGAGAGGCGACGCCTTCGCGCAGCTGGTCCTGGAGAACAGAAGGAAGTGACTGCATGAGGTGGTAACAGCTGCAGGTCATTCAGCAGAAAACAGCTGTGAGAGCTGAGCAACAGTGTGAGCCGGACACACAAACACAGATCATTTATTTAAGCGCCTAATAACAATAATAAGCAGTCAGTCCCGTACGCAGGCAGCAGGTCACTGCAGTACCTTCTGCTGCTGGTAGATGGCGCTCAGAGGAGCCACCTCGCAGGACTGATGGGCCCCGAAGACTTTGCAGAGCGAGCAGGTGGGAACCTGACAGGTGAGGCAGTAGATGTTCACCTTTTCTCCCTCATGGTCGGAGCATGTTGAATGAGCAGGAGGTGAAGGCGGAGGGAGGGGCCTGGAGGTGAACACACAGGAAGTGGTTAAACGTCTCTGCTTTAATCACCTGTCGTCAGACATCACCTGGCTGTGTCTCAACCTGGTGCTGTTGATTTCCTCTTTGTAGATGTCGATGATGTTCTCCACCAGCAGGTTTCGCTGAAGGCCGTAGACGCCGTGGCGGTCCAGCAGCACTTCTTGTCTGCAGGACGGACAGCGGAAACGGCCGCTGTTCACCGACATGGTGGTCCGAGCGTGGAACAGAGACGGCTGCACACAGGAAGCAAGAAACCAAAATGCCAGCTTAACCCCGAACGCCATCGTGACGCACAAACCGGGCGGCAAACAGCGGCCGAGCCTTCCATCACACAACATCTGTTACTGGAGCATCGAAGACACACAACACAGCCCGAACACACAAAATCAAAGTGACAGAAATGATCCTCGCTACGTGATCTTTGTGTATCTGCTGTACTGTTAGCTGTGCTTGGTCACCTCCAGTTTTACTTTGGCGGTCTGTCCTATTGTGGTTTTACTTCCTGTTGTTGTTGTCAGCCCCGGATTACCTGTGCCCACCTGTGTCCTTCCTCACTGCTTTACTGTGATCACAGCTCCACGTCTGCACTCCCTTACAGGACGGACCGAGCTTCCTTCTACTCTATTTCTGTTCAGCCTTTACTAATGAAACAAACATTGTCCGGATTTCAGCAACCTTCAGTTTCATTCCCAGCTCTCAGCTCACAGCTGGAGTCGGTGCTCGATTGTTTTGTGCTAGATTCTGAGCTGAAGGTTTCATCTCTCTCCAAGCAAAGTTGACACAACCAGCAGCAAAAGAAGATCCAAACTACGCTTCACAGTTCACTTTCTCCTGAATTGCCTCTTAGCTTTTCTGCTTTGCTTCCACCACACTAAAATCACAGCTCTGTCTCAGTGAACGGCACGAACAGTTTCCCATCTACAGATCTGTTTCTGCATTTTCACTGGCTTGTTACCCACCAGTCTACCGTTATGTGCTGACTTCCAACAAGGAAGTCTCCTTTCTGCGGTTCAAGACTGAAGAGATGTAAACTTCTTAAAATGATGACGAGGAGCAAAACTCTCAGCTGTGTCTGTAATCAAACCTCCGTAACGTTGCTCTGCTTCACGTCAGCAGCATCAGGTCATGTTCACATGTTGATTAATGGTTTTCTTTCGTTTTTGATCTACTGCAGAATATTTGTATAAATCCAGACCAGGAAAACCACCTCCATGTGTTTCTGTTTTATCCTCAGCTACTTTGACACAGAGGCGTCTGCTGTGATGCTCACACCTTTGACAAAGTCTCGCAAGTGTCAGCTTCCTTTTTATAGATGCAAAAATATGTAAATGTGCTGATGCGTGATCAGAATTATAATATTTCTGACTGTCTGAGGCAAAATCCCCCGATTCCAATCGAATCGATTCTAGAAATCAGTGACGACACCCAGCCCTGAGATTTAGCTCCACCTCCTCCTATCCCAGCATCTTCCTCTGTAACATAACCTTCTGCCTGTCCTCCATAAACCTTCGCTTTGCTCCTCCTTTACCATCACAGCGTTTGTTCCCCCCTCCTCTCTTCTTCCCCCTCCCCTCCTCTGTCTTCAGGCTGGAGCACCGGAGGAGGTCAACATTAACACGGCTCTGATTTACGTGAAAATGTTCGCAGATGTGAGGCAGCAGCAGGTTTCATTACCATGTTGCACATTTGGAGTCATATCTTCATACACAGACAGTGAAATAAGAAAGATGGCAGCAGTGTAGATGTTGTTGATGCTCCTGGATGTGCGAGTGGAGGAACTGCTGGGGGAGAAGGCTCTGCATGGCACATGCTGCGTTTACAATACACCTTCTCTGTAATGTCCAGCAGAGGGCAGCTGCAGTCTGACAAAACGGACGCCCTGTTTTTGTAAAGCGCTTTACT